TCTGTGCGTGTGGGCACCCTTGTGGCAAGCCACAGTATGCCAACTTGGGACCAGCAGAAGGTGGGTGTTTGTGCATGTGGAGTGCCCCAGGGGCAGGATGCAGTAAGCCATCCTAGGACCATTGGAAGGCATGTGTTTCCATGGAGTGCCCCAGGGACAGGCCGGGTAAGTGAGCAGGGTTGGGGAGACCAATAATTGAGCTGAGTAGTTTGGAATAACTAAGGGAGACAAACTTGTCTGTCAGTTTGTTGTACTGTAGTGGCTTGAGTGTTGCTGTGAGGCTGGAGGCTATGCCATCAGTGTTTCAAATTCCAGCAGGGTTACCCATGGTAGACAAGTTTCAGCGGAGCTTCCAGTCTAGGAGGGACTTCTTAAAGAATTGGCCATTGAAACCTTATGAATAGCAGTGAAACACTGTCTGGTATATTAATGGAAAACTTTATGAATAGCCCTGAAATATTGTGCATGACTGTGCTAGAAGATGAGCGCCTCAGGTCAGAAGGCACTCAAAATAAGACTGGAAAAGAGCTGCCTCCTCGGAGAAGAGCTGCCTCCTCAGAGGGGAGCTGACCTTAATGATGTGGATGGAGTAGAGCTTTTGGAACCTCCATTTGCTGATGTGGGAATGTCTAAAGATGAGAAGAAACAGCTGCAAACATCCATTGATAATCAGAACATGGAATGTACAAAGTATGAACCTAAGAAAATTGGAAGTTGTCATAAATGAAATGGAATGCATAAAGATCAATATCCTAGGCATTAGTGAGCTGAAATGGACTGGTTTTGGCCATTTTGAATCAGATGATTATATGATCTAGTATTCTAGGAATGACAAATTGAAGAAGAATGGTGTGGCATTCATCGTCACAAAGAGTGTATCAACATCTATCCTGAAGTACAATCTTGTCAGTGATAGGATAATGCCCATATGCCTACGAAGACGTTATATTCAACTATTATTCAAATTTATGTGTCAACTGCCAAAGCCAAAGATGAGGAAATTGAAGATTTTTACCAACTTCTGCAGTCTGAAATTGACCAAACATGCATTCAAGATACATTAATTAGGCCAGCTAATCATGAAGGCACTTGCACTCTCTGGTGGATCTGGGCAGGAGGAATGCATTTCCTACCATTAGAAGAAGTTCTCCATTTTACCCGACCTAGCTACCGACACCAGCGTAGCCCACCTGATCTAACTTGGAGTGCTTGGGAAAAGGCCCAGAGAATTTTAATTCCTATGATGGGTGTCGGGAAAAATAACAATGACATCCACCTTTTATACCAATTTGTTCAGAATGTTTCTGTTTCCCTAGAATCAGTAGCTAACTCTACTTCTGATATAACTTCTGCACTCCAAACTGAAATAACCTCTATCCAAACTGTCACACTTCAGAATCTGGCATCTCTAGACAAATAGAACAAGATCAACAAACTATTCATCTCACTATTTGTAAATTACAACAGGACTGGGAAACTATGCGGCAGGATTTAACACCCCCACCTTTGGGATAGACTTTTCTTGGCTCACCTCTTAGTTACCCAATTTAGGGTGGTTGAGATCTTTATTTATTACAATACTCCTCCTATTAACAATAACACTCTTTACTTGCTGTTGTATTCAATGTCTACCTAGGTGTTTGCCTGTCTTAAAACCTCCAGAATTACAAGCTACACTGAAGATATCCCTAGTTTCTTCTCTGCAGACTATGGCCAGAAGATTCCGTGAACTGTCCAAACTACGGGAAGCTTACTGACCAGGGATTGAGTTCCACCATCTTTGCCCCGGTCATCAGGAAGCAGCTACGATGAGTGAGTCGTCACCCATTTCCCAAAATTGTGGAACAGTAACCATTCTTAGGGAGAATCAGAAAACCCAGTAAAGTGTTCCCCAAGAATGTGGGACAATATCTATTCTAAGGGGGAATTGAAACTGAGTGCTATTTCCCCCACCCTGGCACCTGGATGGGAATAGATAGGTAGACTGGATTACCCCCAACTATTTCCCCCACCCTGGTTAAGACAGATAATTAGATAAGACCCCTAAATAGACTGGATTACCCCAACTATTTTCCTGCCCAGGGCAGATGAGTATTCAGTTCCTTAAAGAACTGAATGGAAAACATTCCTTCCTGCAGATGATAGACTTGCTAAAAGTATTTTAGAAACAACTTGTAAATGAACTCTGGCCAAGGACATAAGGGAACAAAAGTTAATTGCTGACCCTCTCCTCTCTGCCCAATCCCCTATCAGCTGATAACAAGAAACTAGTGACTCATTGTCACCCATTTCACGTTCACACCCCAAATTCCTCAACCTTTTGTGAATATGCCCAACCCCCTCTCTTGAAAACTACAAAAACTGTGTGTTTTGAGGGCATCTCAGAGAGTTTAAATCTGGGTATAGACTACCGCTAACTCCTTGCACTGCTGCTTTGCAATAAATAATTTTTTCTTCTTTCAGAAACAAAACAAACAAACAAAAGATGTGTTAACTATCACTGGTGATTGGAATGCAAAAGTTGGAAACAAAGAAGAATCACTGGTAGTTGGAAAACATGGCCTTGGTGATAGAAATGACGCTGGAGATCATATGATAGAATTCAGCAAGACCAACAACTCATTCATTGCAAAGACCTTTTTTCAACAACACAAATAGTGGTTATACACATGGACTTCACCAGACTGAGTACACAGGAATCAGACTGGTAAAGTGGAGGGTTAGTGAAAAAGGGGAAGGCTCTCAACGAGATGGATTGACACAGTGGCTGCAATGATGGGCTCGGGGCAAGGATCGTAAGGATGGAGCGCAAATGAATGGCGTTTTGTTCTATTTTACATAGGGTCCCTATGACTTGGAGCTGACTGGACAGCATCTAACAACAGCAACAAAGCAGGTAACAGCACATATCCTATCACTGACTCGTAGTGACCATAAACGGTAGAGTAGAACTGCCCCACAGAGCTTCCAAGGCATAAATCTTTACAGAAGCCAACTGTCACATCTTTCTCTCAGAGAGCAGTTGGTAGGTTCAAAGTGTTACCCAAACTGTGGGTTCGTGCCTAGAGTGACGCAGAATCCATTCTGTCACACTGAGAGAAGAGAGAAGAGTTTACTCACTTATGCAGAAGTGAGGGATAGACAGAAATACTCTGAAAGTCCTTCCCCTGGCCCCAGTGGGTAAATACGAAGTTAATGTATGTTGAGCTAATGCTTATGGTCACAGGTACACATTCCATTCCCAAATACCAGGGCTCTTCAACCCATGAACAGGACAAAGAAAGGCTGTTTAATTGTGACAATGAAGCTTGTCTTTTAGTTCTGGAAGGCGTCAACTCCAGGTGTACTCTGGTTTTCTCAAGCTGACCTTCCTAGAATGTCACACGCTATATTCTTAGCATCTTCTGATCTCCATTCCAAGGTCTTATTTTACTATTTTTTTTTTATCTTGAACTCATTTTATATATTATGTCATCAAAACTGGTAATATTTTGGTTGAGAAACACACTTAACCAGTGCACCACGAGGCTCCTCAAATGGCACACACAGGACTTGGTAACTGTTTATTGAATGAATAGATTGTACACAGTTGTGTTTAATATGGCACATGGCAAAGCATGAACGTAAAAATATTGAGCATATTTGTGGCACATGTAAGCACACAGAGTTATGATCTTAATTCACATATCAAGTGAGCCTTTCTGGTGGTCACGCTTCCTAGTGTGGGTTCTGAGACCTGTTGAGGGTCGCTGGCCTTCTTGCTTAGGGACACACACCCACCTGTCCTACTTTGCTCTTGTCCACTCACAGATTCCTCTCTCTCTAGGTTTGCACTTAGTGCTGCCCACTACAAAGTGCTCACCTGACCTGAACATGCCCCACCTCATGCCTCAGGCCCTTGTCTCCTGTGCTAGCTGCTGGGCGGCCCTCTGCCCACTGTGTGCCCTGGGCCTTGCTCACGGTCCACTTCTGTCAGGACCCACTCGTCTCTCAGCTCCTGCAGTTCCTTGTTGCTGCTGTTGGGTGCCATCAAGTCAATTCCAACTCATAGCAACCCTACGGGACAGAGTACAACTAGGCTTTTCAAGCCTGAAATCTTAATGGGAGCAGATCACTAGGGCTTTTCTCCAAGAGCTGCTGGAGGGCTTGAACCACTGACCTTTCGGTTAGCAGCCGAGTACTTAACAAGTGCACCACCAGGGCTCCTTTGCTGTTTCTTAGTCTCTTTTATTGTATTTCCTCTTGTTGTGCCCAGGTTATGAAGGAGTAGTTCGGGGTGAATAAATTGCCAACATGCGACAATGCAAAAAGCAATAGGAAAGTTTATTAGCTAACTTAAGTTAGGGTCCTTGCTTTCACCCTCGCAGTGGGTTGAGCAAAAGACCCTGTGCTCTTACATTAAGGGATATTTATAGAGAAACATAGAGTAGATAATTTGGTTTTTATGATAAGGGTTTGGGAATTTGGGGCAGGTTGGAATTCCCCTGGTTTCAAAGGTGAGTGAGAGATTTCTTGGGGCCAGGCGGATCTCTTTGATATGTGCATATTCTCTGCGAAACCCTGGGGGTGAAAGCCCTCCTAGTCTTCAAAGGTGGGTGAGAGGCTTCTTGGAGCCATGCAGATTTCTGATAAAAGGCTCTGAGGTATGGGATATTTACTACAGGTATTAGGGCTCAGCATGGGAGTGTCAATCTACCTGGAGGCATTAGGGCTCAGCATGGGACGTGTCAATCTCCATACTAAAGGCTTCTGGTTAAGAGACCTTTCAGGCTTTACACTCTGTTGGTTGGGGCATGCAGGAGAAGTGAGGACCACAAAACCTTCCCAGTAAGGGCTTTTTGAAAGCCCAAATCTAGAAATTGTGGGTAGTCTGGGGCTCTGCGGGAGTAGATTTTGGAGGGAAGACACAAACAGAACACAAAGATGCTTGAAGAAGTTTACTGCATGGACCCCACAGGTGTTGACAGTCAAGGGTGTGGGCCCAGGGCCAAGGCCTTCCCTTAAGATAGTACTTGTAGGGTTTCAAAGGTGTGAAAACGGTTTCCTTTGATGGGCACTACTGCTCTATCTTCAGGGCAGATGTTTAGCTCTTGAACAATGTCAACTACTGCTGCAATCCTTACAGTGCCTGAAAGAGATGAGAACAGAGATTATCTCTGAGAATACTCCACCACCAGCCTCTTATCTTTTCCACTGCTAGCAGCCACCAGCCCAATGGGGTTCTGTTTCCTCAAGTGTGGGAGTTAAGGTTATCTGTCAACTTGGCTGGGTCTGTTTTGAGTGGCTGGGCAGCTGTATGTAGTGATTCCTCATGATGAGACTGGTAATCAGCTCCATGGTGGAGTCTACTGTGAACAGCTGAGTAGCTGCCTTAGGGATGCGGTCTGCTTCCTGTATGTAAGCAGAAGGCTTTGAGAAAGGTCTTGAGCTTCTTGGCACATTCGTAGCCTGCATTTGGCCAAGTCATCAGTGCGCGGCCTGCCATATTGTCTGCTGATCTTGGGACTATTTCTGGACTTGAACTAGTGGCCTCCCGTATTGCTTGATAATCTTGGGACTGTGCCATTTTATTTGTCGACTTTGGGTTTGTCAGCCTCAGCAGCCAGCAACCGCCTGAGTTAAGAAATGCCTCCAGCTCCAGTGGGCTGGAAGCAAGAGGCAGAGCTGAAGCCCTAGGTTGAGGGGCCTTCATTCAGCCCCCTGAAGCTGGCACTTTGAACTCAGACTTCTAGCCTCCTAAACTGTAAGAGAGTAAATCTCTGTTTGTTTAAGCCGCCCGCTTGTGGTTTGTGTGTTAAAGCAGCACTAGGGAACCAAAACACCAAGTCATCCTCAACGTATCTCCCTCGTTCGATTTTCTCATACAATCCCTCACTTTGAGAATCGGGTGCAGTCCCCACCCATTCCTCCCCTCTCTCCTTTCCTCCACACTTCCTTCTCCTGCCAGGAAGCTCTGGCATAGGACTCTTTGTAGCTCTGCCCCCAGTGGGGCAACCTCCCCTGGGCAGTTCCTGGACTCACTATTGCTCTGAATGTCCCAGAAGAACGTCCTTGGGTAATCGTCACACAGGCAGCCAGTGAACTTATAGTTGTGAGAAGGACCTTCAAGGGGGCTGCTGCTTATGAGGTAACTTTTTATCTGGTGAGGAGAAGGTGAGAGAGAGTCCCCAGTGTTAGCCTGGGGAACGGGCTGGGGCAAGAGGGACAAGGGATCAATAAGGAGGAAGTGGATGTCCTTAGAGGTGAGCAGTTAGAAGGTGGTGAACAGAGGTGTGGCGGGCAGAGTCCGCTGTTGGAGGCTTATGTCAGGAGCTGAAGTGACCTCTCTTCCTGGGTGGGTATAGGGATCAGCATGGAGGTGGGGATACAGAAATGGATCCAAGGGCAGGAGGACTCATCCTGAGGCCACTGTCTGTCTGTCTATCCAGGGAGCAGCCTGACATAGTCACCCAGCAAGAATTGACCTGCATCAACTCAGACTCTGCACCTGTCCTGGGTGTGGAAGTTGGATCTGTGACCATGCCCCAGGGGACCTCTCTAACTTGTGAGATTTTGTGGTTAAGATGGCATCTGTCTTCCTCACTTAGGAGATGCAGCAATGGCCTATGCAGCCTTCAGTCAGAGAAGCACCTGGAGCCTTGAATGTGAGTTATTCCAATTTGAGATGGGAGATTATCATATATATGCAGAGGAGTTAGTGAGGTCAGGAAGTTTTGGCCTGGTCTGTGCTGAGCTCCAGGGTTTTATCCTGGGGTCCAGAGACCCAGAGGGGTCTGTAGAGAGGATGAGGGGTCTGTGAGCTCTGATGGGGGACAGCTTGATCCTTTCCTCCACTACCCTTTCAGGGATCTGAGTTAGGAATGCCGTCAACCAACTTCCACAGCTTTGGCCAAAAGCATGCTGTTCTCCTCAGGAGCCATGTTTTACATCCCATTACTTAGGCATTGTGACATGCTGTCTGCCCTCACCCCTGCCTTGAACATATGCTGGTTATCAGCGTGATGGTCATTCAGGTGAGACCCTCTGCCTGCCAACCTGTCTACCAGTCACCTGGCACTCGCTCAGGAGTCTGGTAACTCAGCCCTTGACAGTGAATTCAGGGTTCTCACAGTTGGAATGCTGCCTGAATGCCGGGGATAATTCTGCTGCCCCTTGCGTAGGTGATCTTTCCGTTACATTTGCAACAATACACACGTATAAGCCACGTAAAAATCAAAACGTGGCACGTGTGATGTGTTGTCTGACGTGAGTTTAATGAACTCACTCAAGCAGAGTAACACTGCCACCCCTCACACAGATGCTCTTGCCCTCACACAGATGTGCTTGCCTGCAGTTTCCTTCCCAGCTAATGTTTTAATAGAGAATCACATATATCACTGGGCCTCAGATTTATTTTTAATAATCTCATCCCTATTTCTCAATATAGTCATTTTCCCCTTGTAATCCAATGCCTTGTGTTTATGGAATTAAAAGCAGTTTTCTAATAACGTTCCCATAAACTTCATGAGACCAGCAAGATGGCCCAGTGGAGCAAAACCGTTTGACACTGTGGGCTGTCATCGCTTTTCCTTAGTCTAAAGGGTTGTATAATCTTTGGGTTCATATTCATGGTTGGGGCTATTATCTGTTTGAGTTTTGTAGCTGTGACCCTAAGACCTCACTTTATCAACAACTCAGTATAAAACATAATTAAGGGGAAATAAGAGTTAAGTGCTGGAACATTCACTGTTCTATAAGAAATTGTATTTTCCTAAAAATGTGAAAATATGCAGATGTTTTCACAGCTACACATTTCTGTTGCAATCTATAAATAAAAATTAGTTGATCAGGACTGATGATATTTTATTTTCTATAAATTCTTCCTAGTTTGCAATATAATTTTTTTTTAAGGTAGCTCTTGCACTTTGATTGTACTTGGGTAGGTTTTCTAAAAACCATTTTTTTTTTTTTTTTTTTATACTAGCATTATTCGGCTGCTAACCAAAAGTTTGATGGTTCGAACCCACAGCTGCTCTGCAGGAGAGAGATGGCTTCCATAAGGATGACAGCCTTGGAAACCCTGTCGGGGCAGTTCTACTCTGTCTTATCAGATTGCTGTTGGAATCAACTTGGTGGCAGAAGAGTTTCCGTGTTATTCGTAGAAACCTGGTTCTACCATCACAGCCACACACTTTCCTATCACATGCCATCTTGTCGGTTTTCTCACCCCTAGCTTTCTCAGGGTACCATGGGCTTCCCCAGAAACCACCTTCCTCACAATGCTTTTGCGTAAAGATTCTCATTTCTTTTGTCACCTATGGTTGTGGGAAACAAAGCATAAAATTGAAAAATGAATGAATGCCTCCCCTCCTCTGTCAGGCGGAGGCCCCATCCTTGGACTCTGCGTGGCAGTCTGTGTCGAGGCAGCTGTGCTGTTGTCTACGCGGTGTTCTGGACTCTGTCACATAGGTCTGGGGCCGTTTCTAGGATGAGTGCATTTAACCGACAGCTGCTCTCACACTCCCAGCCTGGTTTCCTGCTTAGCCACTGTCTCCTATCTCTCACGGGATCCAGAAAGTCACACTGCAGGGAAGCGGTCCTGCTGCCTGAGGGGGTGTCCCCTGTGGAGGGAGAGGAGGAGTGTGGGCCTTGCATAGGAACCTGCACTGCACCAAGGTCCCCAGGGCATTCCCTTTGGGGAAACTCCAAGCCTGTTCAGAACGTGGACTCCCCTCTCAGCTAACTTATGGCTGGCAGGGCAAGGGTGCAGGGAGGTGGGCTTCTTGTCAGGGAGGGATGGCCAGGACAAGACCCAAGAGAAAGAACAGAGGAAGGGGGCAGTGAGGGAACGAGGCCCTGCTCAGGGTGCGTGCAGGGGAGAAGCCGTACCGTGCGTGTTCCTGCGACGTGCCGCTTCTCCCCACCTGCCTCATCCTGCTCCAAGGAGGTTCTCTTTTCCTTCTGAGAAGCCCCTCCTGCCCCATTACCAGCCCATCTTGCCCAGAACGGTGTTGTATGTGTATATGCGTGTGCATTCATGCATGTGTGCATGTGCATGCACGTACACATATGTGCATGTCTGTACGTGTGCATGTGTGCATGCACGTGTATGTGTGCACATGTGTATGTACGCATGCCTGTGTACACGTGTGTCCGTGTGTATGCATGTGTGCGCATTGTGCATGCACATGTGTGTGTATGCAGGTGTGCACATGTGCGTGTATACACGTGTGTGCATGTGTGTGTGTGTGTGCATGTGGCTCTGGCCAGCTCTTACTCTTCTCCTCTTTGCCGGAATTTTGCCACTTCCTACACCTCTCTTCCTTGTCCTCTCCAGGGGTCCCTGGAGCACTGTTTCCTCCTCGCACAATGAGAACGGTCATCCGCCCTGAGCTCCCACGGTCGTTTTGAGCTCGAGTGGTGTAACACAGGTAAGAAAGGTGTGTTAATGTGCAATATCCAAGGCAGGATTCAGTCGATTCGTATCCAGGGAGTCTTACCTTAGCTTCACTGCCCTAGGCCCCAGCTTACCACTGTACGAGGACCAGTGGCCCTGGAGTCAATGCTGACCCATGGCAGTGCCACATGTGTCACAGTGCAACTGTGCTCCGTAGCGTTTTCAACGCCTGCTGTAAGCAGACCACCAGCCTTTCTTCTAAGGCACCCCGGAGTGGCCTGGAACCTCCAGCCTTTCAGGCAGCAGCTGAACACGTTACCATGTGTACGTGGCCTCACTTACCACCATGCATTCTTTCATCTGTGTTTGAACTTTCAGTGTCACGGGCACCTCCTCGCCTGCTCTTACGGTCTGCTGCACCTGCAGGTCCATGGTCAGCACCTCCCAGGTGCTAAGGGGAGAGAGAAGTGGGACATGACCGTCAGGGCCCTGTCCAGGGGAGAGAGGGCACAGGGGGTGGCAGTGGAGGGCCAGGAAGGTGCAGGGGAGGCCGGGAGGAGGTTGGGCCTGTTGCTCAGCGTCAGAAGCCCCTGGGAGTGATGGGTGGTGGGTTGCCTGGGTTGTTTTGTAAGAACATAGTTTCATCTAATAAAGCAACTTGAGTGCCTTTATGGACAACCGAGCATGTTCTTTCCAAAGAGCAAGAAGAAAAGAACTCGAGGACAACGTCCACATCGTTTCCTAACAAAGCCCCCAGGGTCTTCAGCTGCCAAGTGGGGGGCTCACGTCCCCAGCAGGGGAAAGTTCCCTTAGCTGTAGAATGGCGGCACCAGTAAGCATCTCCAGGCCTTGGGAGAGCGAGGAGCAGCCCCCCTGGTTCCTGCTGTTTTATGCTGCAGGGGATTTGGACACAGCTGGGTTTGGGGGCTCTTCCTGCAGGTGCCACCGTGGTTCAGGCCGCGTACCACTCTGCTTGGAAACAGGAGACAACGACGGCCAGGATCCCTCCTCAGTGAGGAGGGTGGGGTTCAGGGCCAGTACAGTTCTTTCTGCTTCTAGAAGCTCCTGGCTGAGCCTCTGGTTGGGAGGGCAGGGAGGGTCAGCTTCTTTGGCCACAGGCCTCCCAGCCCTGTGTGCTAAAGCATCACATGTCAGATTCCACGAGATTCCATTTGTCCTGCCGGCTGCTCTGGGAAAGGGGTCGGAGAAAGTGTCTTCAGCATTCCTGCCTTTGGTGGATTGTTTGGATGGCCATCTTAGGGTGACCGCCATCCTAGTTTGCTGGGAACTGAGTGGTTTCCTGGAGGGAGAGCCTTGCACTGCTAAAACTGGGAAAGTCTGGGCCAAGCGGGGGCAGCTGGTCACCCTCAGCACAGCTCACTTCAGCAACTTGCTGTCTTTTGGGCTAAGTCAAGGGACATGGAGCTGAGCTCCTTGCGACACCTGTCACTATCTCATCGGCTGGTCAGAATTCCATATGGTTTCCTCTCATCACTCAGAGATCTTCACCAGATACCCTGTTCCTACAGGAAAGCCCGCACCGACAGCCTGCAGAGAAAACTCAGGCTGGCTGGGTGTCCCTGCTTCCCTAGACTCTTGGCCCCATTTCCTGTCACCTTTTAATTGTCGCAAATTCCCTGCTTCTTCACAGAATGGCCCTTTGCCCTGGTTCCCCTGGGGTGAGTGAGGTCAGGGCAAGGGGTCCTCACACTCACCTGCAGGCTGCTGGGCTCTTTGAACCTCCGCCCATGCAGTGATGTGGGCTCAGCCCCCAGTGAGTTCGGCCTGGGCTGCCTAGGCTACTGTTGGAACTCACTAATGTGCCCATCCCATTCTTCTAGGAGCGAGTGTGAGAAGGGGATGTTTACTGAGCAGAAATCTGAACAAAGGCCCAGATCACAGACAGGATGTGGACCAGACACGGAACAGGACTGCCTGCTAACTACAGCCTGGACGCTCCCCCGGGAGATGTGCAGGGAGGGATGGGACCTGGGGAGGGGTCCCACTGAGAACTTCTAGGACTAGAACTCAGAAAGGTGCAAGGTGTTCAGGGAAGGGTGGGTGGGCTCACAGGCCAGGAGGGTGAGCTGGCCCTGCTGGGAGTCGGAGGGGCGGGGAGGGCATGGCTCACGTGTCTTCCTGTGCGTTGCCGGCCCCCAGCTGCAGGCAGAGAACCAGGAGCAGGGCGGCAGGGCCGGCCTCGGAACGGAGCAGGAGCGCTCGCATGGTGAGGAGCAGAATGTGGCCTCGGGTGAACAGGCTTCCGGTGCCCAGAGCGCTTCTTATAAGCACAGGGAGGAAGCGGGCAAGCTGCCAGGGGCCCCGCTGCCCGTCGCGCAGCCACCCTTTCCAGGTAGCACTTTTCCTTTGGGGCCAGTCCGTCTGTGAAGAGTCAACATTCAGCTGGGAGTTGGAGTCCGGGCGAGGCATCACACAGCACTCCTTCATTTTTTTCCTTCTCAGTGATCTTCGGGGCATCCCCTGCCCCGCCCTGGCTCACAGAGCGGGTCCTGTCCCTTTTCCCGATGGGCCTGTCCACCTGTCCAGAGACCCCTGCTCTGTGGCAGCACCAGGCACACCTGCTTCACCCCTGAGTCAGTTCAAGACGAGTGTTTGATCCAGGATTTCTTGGGGGGCGGGGAGATGAGAGCGTCCCTCCAAGGCCACCAGCCGTCACACAGCTGGGAGGGCTGGGGAGAGCTGGCTGCCCTGGGGGATGGGAGAGGGGGCCCCAGAGCTTTGGGGTGACCTGAAGATGTGATTGCTGAGTTACACACACACACACACACACATGCACATGCATTCACACATGTACACTTCTACCCACACCCACATGTGCAATGCACACACACACAATACAGATGTAAACTCTCACACATGCAACCATACCCTCACATATGCACACATGCACAATGTACATACACAATGCACAAATACACACATGCACAACTGCACACTCACACATGCATGGTGCACACATGTACAACACACACAAACTCATACACATACACACACATGCACAATACACTTGGGACATGTGCACTCTCACACACTCACATGTACACACATGCACACACGTACAATAAACACAATATACACATTTTCTCTCACACGTGCACTCACACATTCATATACACACATGCATAGAACACACACCCACATGCAGTACACACGCTTGCATACACCACACACCCACACATGCACAATACACACTAACACATACTCCAAATGCACACTGACACATGCACACAGTCACACATATACACATGCCCAACACACACATACAATACACGTCTTTGCATGCACACACTCATGCTATACATCACAACACACATAGAAACACACACATATACACACAAAACATACATGCACAAACTCACACATGTACACCACACATTGTCTCACAAACATGCATACACTCACATGTACACATATTCACACACACAGGCATACACACATACACAAGACACATACAATACACACATGTTCACAGATATGCACACACTTATACATAATGCACAACACGTGCACATGCACACACCCTACCTCAGACACGCACACTCACACACACAAAGCACTTCCCGAATTTCTTCTAACCAAGATAGAGTTACAAAGGGTGGCGTAACTCCCCGTCCTTACCGTTAAACAACTAAAATTCTGAACAAGATCTAAGAAACATCCTGAAGACAGTAGACACGGAGGCCAGTCGTCCCAGAGAGGAAGAAAACAGCTAACGTGACCTCCACTACTGCCCCGCTCTCTGGACAGGGCCCCCTCAGCCAAAGCTGGGACATCCCTGAGTGAGGAGAAGGCCCTGGAGAGCAGGGAGGTGGTGGGCTGTGACAGCGGAACCCCACGCGGTAGCTACAGCGGGGGTCCCAGAGTGGACCCCAGAGAGGAGGCCGCTGCACAGACAGGGCTCCCAGCTTCTGCAGAGGGCCCCCTAGAACTGACCGGCAATGACCTGAGGTCCCCTACCAAGTTATCACTTGGTGGGAAGTTAGAGGAAGCCACATCAGAACTCCCACAGGGCCAGGAGGAAAGCCGGTGGGTGTGTGAATTATAATTTGTAGCTTGTAAGGGCAGCATATGAACAGAGTGCTCAGAAGGGTTATTTGAGTAACTGCTCCTGTGTTTCAAACTCTTGGAGGCTTGTTACTGCCTTTTGTAATTGTTTCCTAGCTCAGTCCACTGTGGGTAAGATGTATACCCCGTGGGGTGTAAATGCTCTGAACTGATGGCATGCAGAGCCCTGCATATGGCTCTTCTGGTGAAGGATCCGTTTACACCTGTAGAATGTTGATTCTGCATTCATTGAGGGAAGTACTCCACGTGATAATCAGGGCCCATTTGCTGCTTTTGTTGTTCGAGGCATGTCTTAGTTTTATGTCTGTTCACTCTATCAGCTATCTGAGAGAATGGTACAGAAGCCTCCTGGTCATGACTATGCATTTGTCTATTTCTCCCTTCAGTATTTATTTATTATTAATTAATCAGTCTGTCCATTTTTTGTTTGTTTTTACTTTTTATATTTTCAGGCTCTGAGTGAAGGAGCACTGGTGGTATAGTGGATAAGGCATTTGTCAGCAGCTCAAACCCACCAGCCACTCTGCGGAAGGAAGACAGGACAATAGACTTCCATTAAGATTTACAGCCTCAAAAACCCAAAGGGGGTCACTATGAGTCAGAATTGACACAATGGCAGTGAGTTTGATTTGGTTTTGGTTTGAATTTAGGATGGATACACTTTTAAGTTTGTTGTATCTTGTGGATGGGTTTACATTTTTATCATCTCTATTGTTACTTCTCTTAATGCCTACTTTGATATTAATAAAGCTACCTTCATATAGCTAGAATACTCTTTTAGTTAGCGTTCATTATAAATATTTTTAGTATTTTAACGTGTTTCTATATACTTATTCACAAGGTTTATCTCTTGATGCAACGTACATCTGTCACATTGTGTAAGGTTTAAGGTGTATCTAGAATTAAAATACATGATGGCTATAGCTCAAAAAGTTGGAGGTAGTTGGTAGGTTGATTGAAAACATTTAGAATCCTTTGCTTGTCTGGGAGATGTTAGTAGTATCAATAGATTTTTTAAAAATAAATGATATATTCTAGAATCCCTAGGGTAAATTCTCAAAGAATAATCAAGCAATGAAAGTAAGCTAATAGAGGAGAATATAGGGTAACAAAACATCTGTGATTTATTCACAAGAAAGAGAGGGGAAAAGAACAAGGAGAGGGCTTGAATAGAAGAAAAAGCAAAATGGTAGATGTAGCCTCAAATTGTTCAGTGTTTGCATTGTACGTGGAATCTTTATAATTATGGAATGTGTGAAATTGCCTTGGACTCTTGTAGCAACAGAAGCCTGACACCAATCCAGGAGAAGGTCTCCCAGTCATGCTTTTGTCTGTACCTCCCATGTACCTCTCTGTGTCTTTCTCTTCCTCCAGTAGCAGGGCTGTGATGCAGAATGTGAGGGGCAGTCTGGGGCTTCACACGCAGAAGGCTGGGTTCATGGACTGTGCTGGAATATACTGTGGGATGGTCTGAAGTAACACACACTGTATCGTCTATGGATCTCAAACTAGACGGCTGAATACCCAAAGTGGGAGATGGTAAGATATAGAACAGAACATCTCCCCTGCCAGTTGGGCTGCTGAGCCTATGCACACAAAACAACTACACACTTTGAAAAACAAAAATGGAAGGGATGAGGCCAAGGGGACAAAGGGAATGAGTAAGTTTAAAAATACAATTGTTATTCATTATTTTACTCTGAAAGTTGTAGAAGTACTTTAGAAAAGTGTGAGAACACTGCTGGTGGGACTGTGAAACGGTACAACCATTGTGGAAAGCAGTATGGTGATTCCTTCAAAAGTTGGAATTAGATATACCATTTGACCCAGCCATTCCATTACTAGGTATATACCCTAAAGAAGTGAGAGGCATGATGAGAACAGATATACACACACCCATGTTCATCGCAGCACTATTTACAATAGCCAGAAGATGGAAACAACCTAGATGTCCGTCAACTGAAGAATGGATAACCAAACTATGGTACATACACACAATGGAATACTATGCCACACTAAAGAATAATGTAGAATCTGCAAAACACCGCATAACATGCATGAACTTGGAGTACATTATGCTGCGTGAAATAAGTCAATCACAAAAGGACAAATATTGTATTAGTCTGTTATTATAAAACTTAAGGAAAGGTTTATCTATAGAAGGAAATTTTCTTTGTTGG